TCTATGCTTGGTTCATTATTGGTCTTGGTGATCGTCATTTAGAAAATATTTTATTAAATACAAAAGATGGAAATGTTGTTCATATTGATTTTGATATGTTATTTTGGAAAGGTGAAATCCTTCCTGTTCCTGAAACTGTTCCTTTTAGATTAACTACTAATATGATTGATTGTTTTGGTCCTCAATCTGAAAATGGTCTCTTTCTTGATATGTGTACTCTCGTTTTAAAAACTTTACGTCATAATAAATCTGTTATTATCTCTTTAACTAATAGTATGTTACATCCCTCTTTTATTGATTGGGCTCTTGATGAAAAAAGAGCTTCCCAAATCCCTGAAAAACCAATCCCTCGTTTTAAACGTATTTTATCTGGTATTGATAAATTAGGAAGAGTTGTTTCTGAACGTTCTCAAGCTGAACAACTTATTAATGATGCAAAATCTGTTGATAATTTAGCTTCAATGTTTCATGGTTGGCTTCCTTATATCTAATTTAATACTCTAACTTTATTTTCTTTCTTTTTAAAATTTCTCAACTTAAATTATTTTATATTTTATTTTTTTTTAATGATTACAAATCTTTTCATATTATTATCTATTAATAATATTGTTTATTACTTAATCTAGATAGTATTTAAAATAAATTTAGAGATTCTATTATTTTAATATTCTTATCATACTTATTATCATCACTATTTTAATAGAATTAAATTCTTTATCAAAAAAAAAAAAAATTAATTCATTTTATATTAAAATAATTAAAAGATATTACCATATTCAAAATGAATTCTTTAATAAATTTAACACTATTATAGTATAATCAATTTATTTTTAATGTATTGATTAAAATACATTTTAAATGTTTAATGAATAAAATATTAATTTATTTTATTTATATTAATATATTTTTATTCTCTATCTTTACTATTTTATTAATTTATTTATCTAAAATACTATGAATAATATTTTAAAATAATAAAACATTTATTATAACCAAAGACACTGACATTATAATATCAATCATAAGAATTGAATTTAGTTAATCTAGAATTTCTTAGTCATTTGTTTATTTGAATATTCAATAAATAAATACAAAAATAAAAGAAATAAATAAAATTCGTTATATAAAACAATAAATAAAGTTAAAAGAACTAAAAAAAAGAGAATCATTGAAATAATATAACATGGAAGAAGTTGATGATAAATATAATGATTTTGTTCAAAAGATGAGGAAACCATTTGAGTTTCAATATAAAGTTATTTCAGATCCAGGGAAATTATTTACAACACATAGAGATTTTAGAAGATGGCATCAAAAAATACCAATATTATGGACATATAAACCATTTTATGAAGCACGTAGTATTCATCTTCCAAGTATTAAAGAAGAACAAAAAGGATATCAAACAAATAAAATTGAGAATAATAAATATCAATGGTGGAATTTTATTCCATTAGCATATCTTAGACAATTTAAATATACATATAATATTTTCTTTTTAGTAACTATTATTACACAATTTATTCCAGCATGTAAAGTTGGATATCTTTTTCAACATGTTGTTCCATTAATATTTGTATTAACAGTTGCAGTATTAAAAGAATTATTTGATGAAATTCATATTAGAATTCAAGATAGTAAAATTAATAATCAAATTTATACAAAACTTACAGATAAAGGAGAAATTAAAATTAAAAGTAAAGATATTCAAGTTGGTGATATTATTTTAATTCATAAAAATGAAAGAGTACCAGCAGATATGATTGCTCTTCATACAACAGGAAAAAATGGATTATGTTTTGTTAAAACAACACAAATAGATGGAGAAACAGATTGGAAAATTAGAAAAACAATTCCATTTACTCAAAATATTGATAAACAAGATATTCCATTAAAATCAATGGTTATTGATGTTGAAGCACCAAATACTGATATTAAAAAATTTGCAGGAAGAATAAGAGAAACAAATATTCCATTAAATCTTGATATTGAAAATATAATATGGAGTGGATTAACTGTTACAGGAGAAGAAACTATTGGAGTAGTTGTTTATACTGGAAAAGAAACAAAAATAGAAATGTCAAAAGAAGAACCAGTTCATAAAATGGGAGTAACTGAAAGAGAATTAAATAGAGTAACAGGAATTTGTATATTATTATTATTTATTGTAGTTTTAATTATGACAATATGTACAACAATTTATGGAAAATTTACATTTATTACATTTATGAGATATGTTATTCTTGCTGCTCCAATGATTCCTATTTCATTAAGAATTAATTTAGAAATATCAAAAATATTTTATTCATTATTAATTAATTATGATCCTAATATTCCTGGATGTTCTGCAAGAAATACTAATCTTCCTGAAGCACTTGGAAGAGTTGATCAATTATTTACAGATAAAACAGGAACATTAACTGTTAATGAAATGATTTTTAAAAAATTTGTAATGGAAAATAAAAAAGAAATTAATTGTGAAGATATTGAAACTATAAAAATTCTTGTTGAAAATGAATTAAATTCTAATGAAATTATTTTTACTAATGAAGAATTAAATGAAAATAATCTTATTCTTAAAGCTTTATTTGCTATGGCTATTTGTCATAATGTTACTCCAACAAAAAGTATTGATAATAAATTATATTATCAAGCATCGTCTCCTGATGAAATTGCAATGGTTCAATTTGTTGAAAAAATTGGAATAATTTTAACTGAAAGAGATACTGAAGAAATGATTTTAAATACTTCTAAAGGTGAAAGAAAAATAAAAATTTTATGTCTTATTCCATTTTCAAGTGAAAGAAAAAGAATGGGAATTATAATAGAAGAAAATAATAAAAAAATATTACTTATGAAAGGTGCTGAAAGTACATTAAAAAGAATGTTACCAAATGAATGGTGTGTTGAAAAATCTACTGAACTTGCTCGTGAAGATATGAGAACATTAGTTTTTGCAATGAAAATTATTAATGATAATGAATATTCTCAATTTGAACATGAAATAAATGAAGCTAAATTATCTTTAACTTATCGTGATGAAAAAATAAATAATGCTTTTAATCTTCTTGAAAATAATTTAAATCTAATTGGTGTTACTGGAGTAGAAGATAGATTACAAGATAATGTTCCACAAACTATTGAAATTTTAAGAAGAGCTGATATTAAAATATGGATGTTAACTGGTGATAAAATTGAAACAGCTATTGGAATAGGACAAACTTCAACAATTATTCCAAGAGATACTGAAATTATTACTATTACTGGTTCTATTGAAGAAATTGCTAATATTATTAAAACAACAAATTCTATTGAAAAAGCAATTGTTATTGATGGTGAAGCATTACAACATTGTCTTGATTGTTTCCCTCGTTCTTTCTTTTTATTTTGTGATGTTTCAAAAGCTGTTATTTGTGCTCGTTGTTCTCCACAACAAAAAGCTGAAGTTGTTCTTGCTGCAAAAAAATTAGGTAAAAATACTTGTGCTGTTGGTGATGGTGGTAATGATGTTGGTATGATTAGAGAAGCTGATGTTGGTATTGGAATTGAAGGAAAAGAAGGAAAACAAGCAGCATTAGCTGCTGATTTTTCATCACAACAATTTGGTTATATTCCTGAATTATTTTTATGGCATGGTAGAAATGCATATAAAAGAACTTCTTTATTATCTCATATTATTATTCATAGAGGAATTATTATGACAACAATGCAATTATTATATTCTTCTATATTTAATTTTGTTCCTTTACCTTTATATATTGGTTGGTATATGATTTTCTTTACTACTATATTTAATCAATTACCTATCATTATGTTTATCACTGACTTTGATTTATATAGATATTCTACTCGTAAATTCCCTGAAATTTATAAACAATTAAGAGAAAAAAGTGATTTAAGTATTAAAGTATTTTATCAATGGTTAACTACTTCTTTATATGAAGGTACTTTAATCTTAATTCTATCTTTATTATTAACTCATGAACAAAAAGAACTTGCAAATCTTTCATTTTTAGTTTTAAATATTATTTATCTTTTAGATTGTGCTTCTCAAGTTAAAACTTGGAATTGGTATTTATTATTTAGTTATATCTTCTCATTTATTCTCATCTTTACAATCTTTTATATTCTTCCTGATGACCTTCAAAACATTAGTTATATTAGATCACCTAAATTCTATCTTCATGTCTTTATTTGCTTATTACCACCTCTAGCTCCAAGACTTATTTCTTATTTCTTTAATCTTCTTTGTCCTCCAAAGATTGCTAAATTGGAACGAAATTCACATGTTAGTTTTACTTTAAATCCAAATCCATATATTACTCTTCAACAAAATTATCAAACTCTTGATTCTTCTTATTCTCCTTTAAATTAATCTTTTGTTCTTTTAATTCTTTTTATTTCATTTTTACTTAAACTATTATATCTTTTCTTTTTTACTTTTTTTTTAAATAAACTTTGATTCTAATTAATCTTTCATTACAACTTTTATTTGAAGAAATTACATTAAAATCTAAATCAAATTGAAGAATCATTTTTGAGATACTCTTTTTTTTTAATTTTGCTTTTTCTTATTAATTGACTTTATTATTACAGAATGAAAGTACCTGATAATATCTTTCTTTAAACTAAGCGTTCTTATTCTTTTAAAATATTCTTAACAGAATCTTGTTTATATTTTCTCTTAGCCTGAGTTGAACTGATATCCCCCCATTCTGTAAATCTCTCCCTGACAAAATTTGTAATTGTGTTCAACAAATGAATGCCATTCTGTATTTACAAAAGTACATTGTACAGCAACAATGAATGTATAATTAAATGCTTATACTAAACACTCAAACTAACTTAAAAAATCTCAATCTTTCAAATAAAACTGTTGTTTTTTTTTAGAAATTATTTTTGATTCTCTTAAAAAGTGTCCAACAAAGTAAGTCATGTACAGAGAATATTTCTAAGAAAAATAAATCACTTAAGTCAAACGTTCCTTTAGTGTGCTCTTAACATACTTTATGAAAGAATTTCAGTTCTAAATGAATTTTTAACAATAGTTAAGTAAAAAAATAAATAAAAATATTTAGGGTTTTCGAATATTTGAACTGAAAACAGAAATGAAAGAGATAATTGAACGAGTAACATTTGGGAAGGGAAACAATGAAGACTATCAATTACTAAAACAAAGCATTAAATCAGATATTATTAGATTTCAAAAAGAAGGAGGATTTGAAATGATTAGAAATAAAACCAATGAGACAGAGGTAGATAATACTGAAAAAATTCAAATAAGTTCATTATTAGAAGAGTTGTGTAAAGGATGTAATGTCATTCAAAACTTAGAAATGTATAAAGGAATTATCCCATTCAAATGGTTAAAAGAAGAAGAAAACGAAGAAATATTAATGAATATATTAAACTGTGGATATTTGTTATTACAATTAGAAGACACTGTTTTTTATTATAAAGAAAATGAAATATTAAAAGATATCTATCAAGTTAGTAATTATAAAAATGGAAAACTATTATATAAAGTTATGGAATATTTAGAATTATATTGTTCTAAAGAAACAGAAGTATACTTAATTGAAGTATTAGATAATAGAGGGGTAGATGTTTTAAAGAGAACTTTAGATTATTATCTTTCAGAACTATCAGATGATTTTAAACAAAAGTTAATAGAGAGGACGTGGTTTGTTATTGATTCATTTACTTCAATACAAGATATTGCAGAAGGATTTATTAAATGTGGTATAATGCAAAAAGTAATTCAATGTTATTATTCAATTAGTAATCAAACTATTCAAAAACAAATTTATTGGAAATTAATATCATTGTCTTCTGTTCTTACTAATGATTTAGTCCTTGAGTTATATACTCCTAAAGAAAATTGTGTACTATTAACAACACTAGAAGCAGATGATCCAGAAATGATTAAATTATATTTAACTACAATATTAAAAATATTTATTGCTGGAGATGAAATTGATCAACAAAAAAATCCATTTCTTCCTATTTTTTATCATCACCAATTTGTGTCTGTATTAGAAAAATATATTCCTTCTGAAGACAAAGAAATATCAAAATTTGCATCTTATTTATTAACCTTATATTTTCTTGGAAATGATAAGAATTTGGTTCAATAACTTATTTTATTAATTTTTAATTTTATTGAAGTCTTCTCAAAATTGTTGATTTATACCCCAAAAACACTGACCCAAAATAGTCTTTTATTTTAATATATGAAGATTAGTTTTAACGTTGGTTCTTTTAATTTTTCTTTTCTATATTTTTAAAGACCTTCGTTTAGAAGTTAAAGTCCATAACTAAAATTAGCTATTGTTTATTTGATCCCGAAAAATAAGACATGAAAAGTCATGTCATAAATAATTTTTGTTATGGATTTAATTATCCTTTTCATTTTAATTTATTTCTTATATTTATCTAATAAGGTTTTATCGAATAATGGAAAAAAAAAATCGTTTTAAACGCTTTTATCGGAGAATCCAAAAAAACATGAAAAATTATGAAAAAAGAAAACTGTGGAACGAAAAGAAAAAGAAGAAATAACATGAAGTCATTAATTTTTATCCTTTCATAAGATTTCAAAGAGGAAATGATTTAATCTTAAAATTATCATATTTTATTAATAATGGAAGTACAAGTTGAACACTTTCTTACTATGAGTGTTGGAGTTAATTTTGAAATCATTCAAACCAAAGATTTATTGGTTGGAACATTAAAATATGGTGAAGTTTCTTTAGTTTTTAGAAATGATTCTAGCTTTAAACAATTTACATTATTTAGTTTGTTTTCCTTAGTTTATTTATCTTTTCAAAAAGGGTATAAAAACTAATTTGAATATAGACATTTTTTCTACAGCATTCTTAAATGAAAAGAAATGTAACCAAGTAATCAAAAGACTTCAATCAATCAAACATGTCAATTCTCTTCCACTCCTTCATATTGACACTATTTATCAAACAGAACATCAAATTTTTATTCTCTGCAATAACTCTTTTTCTTTTGAAGATAGAATGACTAATAAGATCACTTCAGATGAAGCACGTTATTTCTTAGCAGATTTTCGTTATATTCTTCAAGTCATTAATATACTTCCTGCACATGTATCTTCTCAATCCTTAGTTTTCATGCAAGATTCTATTTCAACCTGTTTTAAATCTCGTTGTGATGACCCATCATCTCCTATTCCTCATTTATTACTTTCTCCATTGGCATTTGTCTTACCAATGACTATTTTTCCAAATATGACTATTACTAAAACCACTCCTTCTATTTTTTCATTAATAAATGATATTGTATCTAAAGTGATTCCTCAAGATGAATCAGATATTTATTTTATTGGTCAAATCATGAAATTTATTCAAAGTGAAAAGTCAATTTCTCTTGAAGATTTAAGTAATTCTGAATTCTTTTTTCAGTGTTACGAGTTTCAACAATTACCCCATGGGTCTTTAGATAATTATACCCCTCTTGAGTTTATTGGTAATGGGGCTTGTGGATTAGTTCTTAAAGTTGAACGTGATGGAGTCATATATGCTATGAAACAATCATCTAGGGGTGATATTCTTCAAAGAGAAGCTCGAGCAATGAAATTATTAAATCATCCTAATTTGATGTCATTAGTAGATTATATTGAGTCATCTGAGTCTTTTGTTTCTAGGATTGGAATTAAGACTAATAGAAGTAAGAAATATTATTACCTTGTAATGGAGTATTGTAATTTTGGTACTCTTGCTCAATACATAAACACTCATGAGTTAAAAGAAGAGGATATTGTTTATTTTATTTCTCAAATCAATGATGGATTAAAGTATTTGTTATATAAAAAGATGATGGTTCATAGAGATATTAAATTGGATAATATCTTATTAACTCTTATCCCTGGATCAAAGGCAGAGTTTCCTTTTAATCTTCAAGTTAAACTAGCTGATTATGGGTTTTGTCGTGCTATTAATAGTGGGATTGAACATGTTAAAGTTGGAACCCCATTATACTTAGGTCCAGAGATTTACAATAACTCTAGTCCATCGTTAAAGAGTGATTTATATTCTGTTGGTGTAATGCTTTTTAGGATGGTTTGTGGGTGTTTTCCTAATGAAACTAATACTTCACAAACTTTAACAAATGAGAATCCTAATGTAGTATTCCCTCAAGAAGTCAACAACAACATTCACTTAAGTTTATTAAGGAATCTTATTTCACGTCTAATTCAAAAAGAGTCTATAAGAATCGATTGGAATAGTTATTTCAATCACCCATTTTTTGTTCATTGTTAATGGTTTATTTATTTAATTGTACTATTTAATTGCTTAATCCTTTTTAGTTTTTTATCTTTTTCATTCAGATACAGTAGTTATTTCTTCTTTTAGAGTACTGTTTCATTAACTGAATTATTCCTAATGTACCAATACATTTTTACTTCTTAATAACAATATGAGAATGTTTATAGTATGCAGGAATCTAATAAGTAGAGACTCGTGGTTTTTTTTAAATTGTTAAGTTGAAATAATTATAAACTTGGACTGGACAATTATTTAGTGGAAAAGAAATGAAGTTATTTTGTTGGATATTTTATGAAGGGTTTCAAATAGAGGTATTCCCTATTAGTTGTTAGTTTTGTGTTATAGTAACAAGATTCAAGAAATTAATAATAAAAGTTTTTATTACAAAGTCTTTAAGATAATTTTTAACGGAAAAACTTTCTTTTGTGTGAATCTCTTCAATTTTATTAAATCAAAAAAGTCTTTGGTAAAAGTCAGTGAACTAAGATTTGGATTTTGTAGAGAATTGATGTTATTTTTATTTTTCTTAATTCTAGTTATTACAAATGTTTATCATATGATGTTATTTTGTAGTAAATAAATGTTTGGTTCTATTATAAAAGAGAGTTGAATAAATTTGTTATAAAAAGGTATGTTTATTTTTTTATGATTTATTTAACTGCCAAGAAGAAAGAATATAAAAAAATATTTTGTAAAAAAGAATATAGTTATTCTTCTATCATTTGATGCTCAAATAATTGGATTGTTTCTTTTAGCATTGGAGAAATAACATCAATAACATTTTGAACATATCCAAGAACGAAAGCATGTAAAATATCAGTAATAGTGATTTGAGCTTCTGGACAACGTTGCATCATATCACGAGCAACGTTCTCATTTCCATACACATCATTTTTACCATAAATTAGATGAAGTTTAGAATGAAAAGTATTTAGGAATTGAATAAAGTCATCAGGGTATTCTTTAATTTGAACACCTTCATCTTTACATAAAGAAAGCATTTGGCCGGTCATTTGAGGATCTAAATGATCTTTAAGTATTGGAATAAATTGTTTTGGAACATCAGTAACTAAAGAAAAGAAGAAAATTATTAAAGATAAAGGTAAAATTTGAAGTAAACGTGTTGAGAAAGCAAGGCAAGCAATAATAAAAGGAGAGTATGTAATTATCTTATACAAAGTACAAAAAGAATTTTTTAAGTTAATAAGTGCAGGGAATAAACCATAATAACCAATAATTCGAGATTGGTCTATTTGACGTAATGCTTGTAATGTAATATAATTACCAATAGAATGTCCTAAAATAATAAACTTAGTATTTGGGTATCTCTGAAATATTTCATTGAAAAATTGAATTTTTAAATGAATTGCTTGATGAACTTTAAGTGAATGTTCTCCATTTTTACATAAGGAAACAATAATTGTTGGATAATTAAATAATTCTATTAATGCTTTTGAAAATTCTTCATAAAATTCAATAATAGAAGGATTACCAGGTATAACAATGAATGCTAGTGGAGAGTCGATTTTTTCTGAACTAAATAAACATGGTTGATTACAAATAATATTATTAGTAAATTGAATATTCATATTCTACTTTACCAGAAAGATAAAAGATTAAAAAATAAATTAATAGTTTTAATATAGTTTTTAATTTAAATAATAAATTTTAATAATAAAATTATAATTAAAATGAATCAATTTAAGAAAATTGAGCAAACTTTTTAATCCATAATGAATCTTCTTTAATTGCCCAAGACAAAACAGCAGTTGCTGTTTTCATCATTTTTACTTTATTTTCTTGGAATTTACTAAAAGTAATAAAGGCATAGTGGGTATTATTTTCTACAGTTACAATTATTTCATCATCAAATACAAACATTTCTTGTTTAAATCCATCTTTAGTAAGGCCAATATATAAATTTTCATATATTCTAAATAATGTTTTTTGTTCTTTACGAGTTGTGTGAATAGTGAATGGAGACATAAATACTTGGTTATCATTTTTTGAATATACAACAAAATGAAGAATTTCGTTTTTAATAATATATGGACAAACAATTGGTGTTGGAGTTTCAATTTGATTCCAAAATTTAGATTGTTTAATTGTATGTTTAAATGTTTTATAACATTTGGTTAAATAACTCATTGACGTAGGTTGAGTAGCAACTAAAACAATAGAAAATGATGTTGTAATATATTTTACAAAGACATGAATTTGTGCTTTTTCATTAAAATCATTTAAACATAACGGCATCCAAGAAATAGTTTTTCTAGATGAAATAGAACGTACAAATGAAATTAAAACCTGTGAGTCCATTGGAGTAAGATTAGCATTTCTTTTACCTAATACTACTATTTTGCTATTTAAAATTAAAGCAGAGAATAAAACACAATCATTATTTGCTTTAAATAATTCAATATTTGTTTGTGATACAATTGTTTGAATACTTTCAGTTAAATAATTTCTTATTGTTGTAGGAAATTGTTCAATGTCAAATGCATTAAATAATAATCCTGATGACATATTACCATGACTTATAGCACATTTCATTTGATTATATGTCCCTCCAATAACATTTCTAAAATCTGCTCCATATGATTGATCGAAGATATTTTGAATTGATGGAAATGGAATAATACTACAAATAGTACAAAATAAAAATTGTAATTGTTTTATTATGATTTCTGGTTGTTCTTTTGTATTAGAAACACAACAAAATTGTAATGGCCCTTTATTTAAGAAAACATATAAATGTTCATTACTTCTTACATACTTTAATTCATCATTATTGTCATTTACAACACTTGTTATAGCTAATAATGTTGCCATGAATGGTGATAGTTCAATGTCATTCCCATACCGTGAAAATACTGGTTTCCCTGCTAATGTATAAACAAACATATGTTTATTATGTAAAAACCATTCAGGAGTACTTGGGTCTTCTACCATATGACGGGCCCAATTCTCTGCATAACTTTCATTGAAAACTATTGGAGATAATGGAGTGGTACTTCTTCGAGAAGACATTTTCTTTTTTTTCTTTTTAAGTTTCTTTTCATTTTTTCTTTTTTATCATATTATTTGATAATTTAAAACATTTATGAAAATTGATTATTTCTTTTAAAGGTGTATTTATTAGTAGTACTATGTCTTATTTTCTATATCTAAAATAACACCTGAATTATTTATCATTATAAGTGAATGTATTATGACTCTCTTTTTTTTGTGTTGTTTTAAAAGAGTTGTTGTTTAGTATTCACTCAATAATTACTTTGTGAACAAATTTATAACACTTTAAATATAAGTAATACATTAGATAACAAACATTTTTAATTAAATTATATATCAAATATAATGGTGCATTTAAAATATTTTTCGATTTTAAATCTTTCATTGTTATTGTTTTTTTTTTCAGAGATTATGATATAATGATTGCCTTACGATTCTTTCTTAAGTATCAGAAATAATTTTTATTTTTTTAAACAGTATATTTTGTATTTTTCTTTATGCATGATTAGAAGTAGATAAATAAATTAGAATACGAATAATTAAAGACTCTTATTGGATATGTTAATAAACTATTTTTTAACTATCATATTTTCTATTTACATGAAGGTGTTGAAAAGATATACAAAGGCTATTGTCGTTATCGATAATCTGGTTTTAGTTAATTAATATATTGTTAGACTTTGGTTTAAAGAACAAAAATTTTGTTAACTATTTTTAGAGATAGTTTCAGTTTATTTACATTTAATTTTGTTTTTAATTCATCTAAGACATGTCTTATTAAGAAATAAAGTACTTTTTCTGGATTACTAAAAGTTTATTTTGGTAAAAATAAGAATACTAATAACGGAGTAGTATAATTATGATAAACTAAAAAGACAAACAGTCAAAACTATAACAGAGTAGATGAATATTTTATGTAATCAAAGAGTATTTTATTCTGAATAAATGGGACGATAAATATTTTAATAACCAAAGAACATCAAAAAACAAACTATTTTTATTAAAAGAAATAACAAAAAAAGAGTGAATTTTTATATTAATTAAATTATTTTGTTATTAATTTATAGAATTTTTTGATATAATTATCAAAGAAGTAAACAAAATAAAAAGAGAATAAAAAATAAAGGAATGAATATGAGATTAACACAAACTCATTATTAAATGGTGATGATTGTCCGTTTTTTTAATAACTAAATGAACAAAAACACCTTTTAAAATTTCATTTAATAATACTCTACTTTATTTCCTGAGCGGACTTGTTTTATAATAAGAATAACAGACCATATTCCACAGCCAATCACAAAAAGTCCATACAACCCAGCAGCTACACCAAGGTTGATTCTTAAAAGAGGGAAATCAAAATCATCTCTTAACATTTTTCCTTTCTTTACAGTATAACTATCAGCAAAAATACAAAGTATAACTAAGAAAATAACTCCCCAAATAGAGAGCATAGTACAAAACAAACTACCTAAAAACATTAGTACATAAAAAAGTTTTTGTTAGTGATAATATATTTAATAAAGTTTAATAACGTTCAAATGTACTAAATAAAGTCAAACACTTAAGATTAGGAATTAATTTTTTAAAGGGGTTTCTGGTGCAACTCATTGAAAGATGTTAGTAATAATTATTTTTTTAAATTTTCATTAAATTTCATTTTTGTAATAAAATAATAAATGAATTACTATTTAAATATTTTTTGTTTTTGTTTCATAAAATTTCTTTTGTTTTAATATAACAAAAATTTAAACAATAACAAAAAATAATTCAATTAATTGTTGATTTATTCATTTAACAATTAGAAGTGGTAAATATATATGTAAATCGTTATATTTAATATACAACTACATAATTTAAATGGATAAAAAACTGAGTTTATTTGAGTATAGTTTAAGTAGTCATATAAATGATAATTACATGATGAATCAGTTATTAAATAGAAATCATGTTGGTTTGTTTTTTGAAGAACATTAATAAACTCATTCAATAATTGTTTCCCAATTCCTTTTCTACGATACTCTTTATTTACAATAAATAATACAACTTCATTTTGAATTAATTTACTTGATTTTTGGTACATTTTTTCTGCTACTTCATAATATTTTTCAATTGAACTTATAAGAGTAGAACTTTCCGGATAGCAATGAAGTTGTTTCTTTAATTCTTTAACTTTTTGTTCTAAATTGTTATCTTTTTTGAATATGGATTGATCCCTTCCCATTAAAAATCCAATTACTTTCTCATTTACTTCAGCAACTAAACAACAACTAGAATGTAAGTAACAATATGAACAATATTCTTCACAATAAATATCCACAAGATATTCAGGAAGATATTTATCTGTTTCCCATGCTTGACAGGTCATTTCTTTCATGGATTTCCAATCTGTTTGATTCATTCGACGATATTTGACTTCCATTATAAACAATAGAATTAAAATAACTAGAAATAAATATTAATTACTTTAAAAAAGGTAAAAATAAAAAAAAAAAGAAAAGCAGAAACTAAAAATAAATATTTAAATTTTATTAATGGAATTATTTGAGTTCTTTCAATTAATCAATGATTTATTAATAATGAAACCTAATATAACATTTCAAGATTGTAAAGTTGTTTCAATGGATTTTTTTATTGACATTCAACATCGATTAAGAATTGCAAAACAAATGTGTATTGATGGAAAACCTCTAAATTTAATTCAACAAGTAATTCAAAGTTCAATACCTCTCATTCAACCTTCACAAATAAAACCAATAGGTAAAGTATATTCACCAACATTAATTAATTCACAAGTTATATTAGATTTCGATGTTATTATTGTTGATCAATTATATCAATCAAAACTACAAAAATTAAATAATCAATTTAACTTTACTTCTCTTCCTGAAGTCTTTATAAAAAGAAATAATAATATATTAACAATAATTAAAGAATATCCTATTATCACTGTTTTTATTAAAGGACTTCCAAATGGGTTTGAAACAATTCAAGTTACCAGTTTTCCAAATGAATTAATGAAAGATTTTAAGAAAAAAGTATTGGATCTAATAAAAATAAAAATTGATGAATATCAATTAACTTGGTCTTCAAAAGACAATAAATTATTTATTAATGATAACTCTTCTGTTCCAAATGAATTATTTCTTTCATTGACACCAAAACTTACTTCATTTTCAACACCTTTTACTTCAACATCATTTTCATTACCTTTCTTTTAAGTAATAGTTCTTTTAACAGTATTTTAATAGTTATTTTTAATTTAAAATAAGGAGGTAAAAAATACAAATAAAAAGAATAACAAAAAATATAAAGTATCAGAAGAGAAATTGGTGTTATAAAATTTTTGGAGTTATTAACTGAAAATTATGAAAACTTTAAAAAAGTAATTAAATCATTATGAGTATTAAAGTTATTTTAATACGTGAAAATGATAAAAGAAGGACTAAAATGATTGATTGTTCAGGAATGAATGAAAAAGAAACGATAGATCATGTTTTAAATGAAATTGGAATTGTTAATGAAGATGAATATTCAATTGAATGGGAGAACAATGAAATAAGAATTGAGATGAAATCAAAAGTTCGTGCTAAGATTTTTGTTCAAAGATTAAAGAATATTACTGAAAAAGATGAAAGGGAAGATTTAATGACTGATTTAGCATATGCAATGAAAGATGAAGAAGTAGGAGAATTTATTTGTCAATATGGATTAGATGTATTAATAGAGTTATTATATGATGAGATTGCAACAGTAAAAGGACTAACAACTCTACGTATTTCTATGTCAAGAGAAAAAGTCTTTGATACTGTTATTGAGGAGCAAAGATTTACTAATAAATTATATGAATTAATGGGTGAAGAAGATGTTTCAATTAAATGGCAAGCAGCAGAAATTATAGCAATTATTGTTACATTTGGTGGAATTGATATTGTTAGAAAAGCAGCTAAAGAATATGCAAGAAAACATGGACAACAAACGTATGAATTACTTTTAAAGATGATGAAAGATAAAACTATGGAAGAAACAGTATTACTTGGGGCATTAGTTATTGGGTCAATTTTTATAGGAAGTAATGTAGAAAAGAAGAAATCTATTGCAAAGAAATTAGAAGGTATGGGATTAAGTAAAATAGTAGAACAAATGACAATAAATTTTCCTAACTCAGAAGATATTAAAACACAAGCATTAGTAATACAAAACAATACTTATTATGCTCAAAAAGTAAAACAAGATAAAGCTAAAAAAGAATTTTTTAGTATTAGTAAAATAGTAGAAGAAGAGTCATGTAAAAGAGACCAAATAAGAAATAAATTTAAAATAAATGAAGAAGAAGTTAATGAATTAAGAAATGAATTAGATTCTCTTCGTGGAGATATTTTAATATATGAAAATGATATTAAAAGACTTCAAAAAGAAATAATTGATAAAAAAAAAGAATATAAAGAAATGCAATCAAAAGTTCCAACTGAAATTATGGGATATAATGATGCTGAATTAAGATCTAAAGTATTAGATTTAAGAAGAAAAAGAGATAGACTTAAATTTGATGTTCAAGAACTTCATAAACAAAAAAATGAAATTAATGAAACAAAAGAAGAGATGGCATATTTTGATATGATTAATAAAATGCAAAAAGATAATAAACAAGGAATACCTAAAAAGAAAAATATTCAAAAACAAGTTAAAACTGCACCACTACCATGGCATAAAGTAATTACATTACAAAGAGGAGCAGATACTACTATTTGGGATGAAATGGAAGACTTTGATATTAGAGAAAAAGATACTGAAAATTTATTAAATAATTTTAATTTTAATGAAGTGATTGAAGATAATGATCCAAATCAAGTTAATTATCCACTACATAAATATCTTGGATTTTCTCTCCTTAAATTACATTTACCTGCAAATAGAATTTTATTACAAAAAATTCAAAACTTAGATAATACTTTCCCTTTAAAAGATATAGAGGCATTAATTAAATATCTTCCTAATGATGCTGAATATCAAATTATTAAAGGTTCTAAAGGAATTGATGTTACTTCAGTTATTGCTATTCAATTATGTAATGAGCCATATTTAACTAATAAACTAAATATATGGTATAAAATTAGATGTATTAATATTGATATTGATAAAGCTACAACAATTATGACTACTATAGCTGATTGTCTTAATACATTACAATCTTCTCAAGAATTATTAATGACTTTGAAAGTTACTTTAAATTTTGGAAATATTCTTAATGCTTCTAGTCCTTTACGTTGTAGAGCTGATGCTTTCTCATTAGAAGCTCTTCTTTTATTAAAAGATGTTCCTGGTCTCTTACAAAATGGACTTAAATTTGTTCTTGGACAAGTAGATCCTGTATTATTATTAGAACAAATAGCAATTTGCAGAGATGCTATTTTCAATACAGAAGATGCTAGAGCACTTCTTCTTAAATCATCAAAGGCATTAGAGCCATTAAGCAATGAATTACATGATTTACGTAAAGTATGTAAAGATACTTGTTCACTTAATTTAAAAAATTCAATAGAAACATTAAAACAAACTATTTCTAATGCATTTAAAGTATCTGAACGATTAGACAATCTTGTAAATTCTGTTACAGAATGGTTTGGGTTAGAATCTTCTGCTTCATTTTTTAAAATCTTTTCAGAATTTGTTAGAGATATTTCATCAGTAATGGAGTTTGTTTTTAATTTGATTTAATCCAATTATCTTCTTTTTATATTCTTCCTTTCAATTACTTATTTGTAGCGGTCAACATCTCTCAGAATACATAGACCTTGAATTGATGCCATTACCTTCAACGAATTATTCTGGTCCAGTTGAAAATTATGTTCAACAAATAATATCAGGAGAAAAAGTTCCAAGTCCTATTGATCTTTTTTCATATTAATTAATAATTTTAATTGATGTCATTAAATTTTGTTATGACTTCTTTGAAAGAACTAAAAAATTAAAACTAAAAATTATCTTAATTAATATGTCTGTTATCAAAGATTATACTGCGCAATTGAAAGAAATAAATCAATTAAACAATGCTAACCAATATATACAAATTGAAAAACAATTGGATTATTTAGATAGACATGAACAAATGAAAATATGTCAAAAATCATTATTTGCGACTCATATAAAATATACACATTGTGTTCAATGTCAAAAAACAGTACTTTTGTCTTTAACAATTAATTGTCAATTTTGTGGTATGAATGACATTTGTCTTGATTGTTGTGATATTATAGAATATCATTTTCCTCCAAATAGATTTAATAGTAAATTGGAGAAATATGATATTTATTCATGTTCATTATGCTCAACAAAATATAAAAAATATCTCATTTATAAACAAATTCAATTTGACAGAAAACATTGGAAAGAAGTTTTAATATCAAAATATTATAGATCTTTGTTAAGGTTAATTGGTCAATTCGATCAACAACAAATTGAACTCTCTTCTTTACAAAATGAATTCTATAATTATTTCACTAATGATATTACACTCTTAGAGCCAAACTTAATCAATAGAATAGAACAAGGTTCTAATGCTTTACTCTTATTCTCTAAAGATTTAAGAACTCTTCAACAAGTAATGAAAGATCAAAAACTAACCCAATTCAATGCAAGAGAAAAAGATGTATTTACTTCTATTAGATCCCTTCTTCAACTAAAAATGAATGATGTCCTTGTTACTGAAAATGAAGTTACTGTTTGTTGTTTTTTTTTCTATCTTTATTTTATGTGACGGAATAAATTTATTAAAAGATTCTTAAAAGAACTATTGTACCTTTCAAACCAAAAAAGAGTCAGAGTGTTCATAACTTATATGGTATGAATTCGTTAATTAACTTTATACAACCTTCTTCAAATGATCAATTTATTATTTCTCCTCGTATTGTAAACTCATTACCACAAATTATCACAATCCAATCTCATTTGATAACACCTTCTACTAGGTTCTTTATTAAAGATAAAGAATTACATAACAAAATGGTTCCAAAAACTCCAGGTAATTTTGCATTTGAATTAACATCAGGAGTTGGTATTATTTCATTAAGGTTTAGAGAACGATTAACAACATTTGAAATACCTTATGCCTTTTTTGTTGTTCTTGATGCTAAAAAAACAATAAAATAAAAGTCAAACAAAATATATTTTTAATTTAAATGTTATTGTAAGTACATAGAACAATTACATTTCTCTTTCTTTTTTCAATTTTTCATATTCTTTCTTTGCAATATCATGAAGGTCATTATACTTTTTCTTTTCTTGATCACTTAATCCCTTCCATTTTTCCCCAATGATTTTCATAATTTCTGTGTTTTTTAAAGTTGGATTAGCCTCTACAACACTCTTTCTTACGTCTTTAGAATAAAGAAAATAAGCTGATAAAGGTCGTTTAAGTTTCTGAGTAGTGTCAGTTGTTTTTGGTTTAGTGGTTGTTTTTGTTTTATCTTCCATTAATTGTTCAATAGATTTTGTTTCTATTACCTCTCTTTAAATAAGAAAAAGTTTAGTGAAAGATTATTATCTCGAGATTTAATTATATCATTACCCTTTCGTTTCTTGTTGTCATTTAAATATATAGACAAAATATAATATAATTTAAACAAATTCAATGAACAAGATTTTCAAAATCTTCAGTGAAAGTCACGGAAATACCTTTCATTTTATATGGAAGTTCTTTATTACAATTTGGTAGAAATTGAAAATCATCACAACGAGCACCTGCAAGAAATGCTGTTCCATTTTTATGTGAAAATGTATTCATAATTAATGTCTGAAGAGTTCTGTCTGTTAAAATTGGATTTTCTGTGAGAAAATTTAATGACGTTGCTTCAAGAATTCGTTCCATCATCATAAAATCTTTGTTCATTGCTCTTCCTCCTTTACCTTCTAATATAACATCATCATAAAATGGTTCATAATCAAATTGAAAATCTTTTAGTGTAATAACATCTTTCTTACTTAGGAGAAGACCAGTTAATGCATCTGCTTTTATATTAATATGCATTATTGCTTGAAACTTTGTTAAAATATTATACATAGTTAAATGTGTCATTGAAACTGAGTTAGGAAAATTCATTTTGATTCTATAAACTTCAATTTCATCTAAAAATTTTGTTAATCCATCAACACCACCCCTAATCCACATACAAAATTTTTGAATCCAAGTCCCACATTCTTTTAAATATGCTTTACCAATACCAAGTAGAGGAATACACCTTAGTTGATCCATAACTTTATTTCTAGCAAACTGAACAATTAAATCACATTCATCCATAACACAATTATTTGTTTTTTGATCAGGTTGATTAGTAACAGTAGTACCAAAATCACCAGTAAATAAAATAACAGTTTTTGTAGGGTTAGTAATTCTGATTGAATTTACAATAAATTCATGAACCTCTCTATATGCACAATGAAGGATATGTGAAAGTGTTACTGGAACCATGTCTGTTTGACAAGGTTCATTATCTAATACTTTTGGAATATTTGTAAAAATTAATAAATGGTTGAGTCGTTGAGAAAGATCTATTCGAATAATGAAACATTCAATGGGATGTGAAATAGGTCTACCATAAATTGTATTATGTGGGATATAAGAATGAATAGGATATAAAGGGTATTTACTCAACACTAAAGATCGTGTTGTAGCAAGTTGATATTGGTATGTAGTATTTTTTGTTTCAAATTTCTCTGGAAGATTACATAAACATAATATTTGAGGAGATGTATAACTTAAAATTTCTTTTAAGTCACTTGAAGGATCTTCTGATAAGTCGATTGTGTCAATAGTAAATGTGTTTGATTTAGTAGTCCCAAAGAGAAAAGCTTTGAGCATTAAAATTAATGAGTTTGGTTAAAACTTTTTTCTATCAACTTCAATATTTGTTGAAAGAAATCTGAAGTAAAAATAAAAAATTTAAAAGTACATAGAAAATCTTGTAAATCATTTTTAGATTGTGAGGGAAAGCAGTTTTATAAAAATATCATCATTTCTAAATCTGCAGATGAGGAAATAGAGATTCCACGTGTATTTTTTGAGATTTGAGATTAAAGGAAATGAAATCATTTTGTGAGAAGTAGAAAATCGTTTAGATTTGAAGTCCAAAAAGGAAAAAAATAAGAAACAATTTGGAAATCAACAAGAAGTAGACTATGCATTGTAAACAAAACTTTAAATTCAAACTGAACGAAGTTTAGTAATGAGGAGTTCCATGACTCTTGCAGATACAAAGAAAGAGAAACGAACGACAATGAGTTTCAGATTAACTGATGCATTTAACAAAAAGCCACAACCATTGAAGCATTCAGAAACTATGATAAAAAATCAAACACTTCAAAAACATGAAAGAAGAGGAGTTGTCTTTGAAGTTGAAAAAACAGTAATATTCGGGACTCCGTTAGAGAAATTAAAGGAGAGCCAATGTGGTTTTAAAGGAGTACCATTGGTAATTGAAGATTGTTGTCATCATATTCGAGATTGTGTTATATCAAATAGAAAATTCATTGATAAATGGGATAACAAACAACTAAATAATTTTTTAGTAAAACATGGTGGGAAAGAAATAAAAAATCTTACAGGAAAAGAAATAATAACAGTAGGTTATGAAGATTTGAAAAAAATGGGATTAAGTGAAGAAGAAAGTAAGAAAACATTTAATATTATTCAAGAAGAAAAGAAAAATATTATTTCTTTTGATGATATTCTTAACAATAAATTCAGTTGTTTTGAAATAAAAAAGATGTATGAATTAATAAAAAAATATGATGAAGGAAAAAGTGTTAATTTATATGAATGTTCCACAGTTAAAATTAGTATGCTATTATTAAGAACATATTTTATTATGTTAGACCCATCATTATTTAATGAAGATTTATGCAAAAAGATTGATTCAATTTTCACACAATCAAATAATCCTGATGGGAAAAAACATATTTATGAACTTCAACAACAATTGATAGATTATATTAAAGAAAGTATTTCACCAACTGCATTTAATATCTTTAATTTAATGAACAATTTCTTTTTGGCTATAGGAAATAATCCTAAAAGTTGTGTATTAAATGAGTTTAATGAAATAGTGATTTATTTCTTTGAAAGTTTTAATCCACGACATGAATTTGATCGGGGATATCTAGAACTTATTCCTATATTATTAGGTTTATCTAATGAAGACCAAATTAATTTATTGCCTCCATATCGTATTGAAACATTAGATCGTTACGATGGTGAGTATGTTCAGTTTACTGTAAATAATGTTATTTGTCCATATTTTTTCTTTCCATTAACAACATTTAATGAGTATAGTATAGCTGGTTGGTTTAAAGGAATATTGTATATTACCAATTATAGAATTTTATTAGACTGTGATGATACATCAATGCTATATGATGTTTGTTTTACTCAAGTTCCATTAAATAATATTAGTTCTTATAAAATCAGTAAAGAATATATTGAAGGAAAAGTATATTCAGCATTACGGATTATAGCTACAGACTTTAGACATTTAACTTTTTTTTGTGAAAATAGGTATAGTGAAGAGTTATTACATTATCTTGAAGGACATATTATGTTTTTCCATTTTAGTTATGAACAAAGTAAGTTTAATACATTAGGAATTAAAGGTAAAACAACAAAACAATTAATAACAGAAGAAAATAAAAGACAGAATTGTGGAATAGTTCCAAAAGAATATATTCATATTTGGAAAAATCCAAATAGTAAAGTTGAATTAAATATTTGTCAAACAGGAATGACAACAAATAACAATTATATTCAGGTTAATGGACCAGATATTCCTTTTGCTTCTTTAATTGAATTAATTAATAATAACATTGGTACTCCAATATCTGATGACATTTTTGATAAAATGACACAATTTGCTTATCAAACATTAGAACCTGCTAAAGAAATTGCAAAAAAGTTATTAAGTCAAAGTGTATTAGTATCATCAAATGGAGTAGGAGAAATAAAAGCATTATTAGCTATTTCTATAATATCATTAGATTCTTATTATTTGTCATTAGATGGATTTATGGTAATGTATCGTACATTTTTTAAGTTTACTGATACTTATCAAAGAATGGTATTTTTATGGATGATTTGGTTAATAATGAACCAACACCCACAAGTTTTTGGATTCAATTATAACTTAGTTAAAACATTGTTTTACCACATTACTGCATTACGATTTAATGATGATTTATTACATCAATTTGTGTTAAATAATAGACAATACTTTGCTACAATTGGTAAAGTAAAGTTTGCAATATTAAATGATATTATCCCTCGTCCATCAGAACTATTTTTCCAACATCCTAGTATTCAACAATTACCTAAAATGAATCAACAAATTGTTATTATGAAAAATACTAGTGCATCTACATTACTTCCTTTTACACCAACAACTATTCAAATATTAGAAGTAGAAAATAATAAATTTTTCGATATTCCAATGAAAGTATTATCTTTTAGTAAATTAAACACTTTAAAAATGGCCAATAATAAGATTTATGTCCTTAGTGATGGAATTAGTTCATTTCATAACTTAACATATCTTGACGTATCAAATAATAACATCAAATGGTTTCCACTTCTTGGAGCAATCAAACTTAAATACCTTGATATTTCCAATAATCCAATTACAACTATTTCATTTCTTCCTACTACATTAACTACACTCAATATGAGAGGATTACGTAGAATGCCTGATTTGACTCAACACTCTTTAATTACATTAGATTGTTCTGGAACATCATCTATTTCAACTAAAACATTGTTTCATAATCTTCCTAAAAGTCTTAAAGAATTAGATATATCTGACAGAAATATGTTGTCATTACCAATTAAAATGTCTAAATTAACTTTATTAACTAAATTAAATTTATCCAACAATCATTTAACTGTATTTCATCCAAGTTTCTTTGAATTAGGAATTAAAGAGTTAAATATAGAGCACAATCATATTAAAATGTTACCACCTACTTTTAAAAAGATGCCTATTGAAAAAATTATTAAAGATGATTTCTCTTTTGAAAGAAAAGTAATTGAAAAAAGAGTCGTTTTAATTGATAATTCAACAGAAATATTTAACGCACTCATTCGACAAAGTAAACATATTAATTGGAATATTAAAGAAGAACCAAGGTCAGCAAAGTTAATTATAAAAAATAATATTGTTATTGATTTGAAAGTATTAGATTTAGAAAGTATTGAATCACAACCATATTTTGGTATTGATGCCCTTTACATTATTCATATAAGAGAATCTATTCCATTCAGAATAACTGATTTGTGTCAATTTACTTCATCACGTAATTATATTGTGATCTCTGATAAAATAATTGAAGACATGACAACTATTGTTTATGATGGAACCCCACAAACTTTAAAATCTATTTGTAGAACACTAAGAAAAAGTATTGAAGACTTTGGAAAAGATGAAATATCCTCTAACTGTTATGAAATCTTAAAAACACTACAATGTTATGACTTATCTCCTGCTGTAATGACAACAACATTATATCAAGAAATTATTTCTTCATTAGAAATGAAAGAAAATGATATTAATAAAGCTGTACATCAATTAGTTGAGAGAAGACTATTACACAGAAGTTGTCTTCCTTCAACTACACCAAGAAATAAACGAGGGTTACGTCCTTCTGTTATTGAAGTAAGAACAACTTATTCAACTTATTATTCTGAAGATTTTGGATATGTTCTAGTTGATACTTTAAATATTTCACATATTGCTACTTCACTACTTATTCAAGCAAAAGGTATTTTTACTGCTAGAGCATTACAAAGTTGTAAAATGCATGGAATGAAAAATAACATTCAACTCAATTATATCATTAGTATTCTTGAAGAGTATTCAATTGTTTTAAAAGTACGACTTGATTTAGCAAAGAATATAGGATGTGAAAATGAATATCCTTCATTACTAGAACAAGCCAAACAAGCTACACTGGTGTCTCAAGATGTTTGTTCTAATGGAAATGATATTATCTTATTATCATTAGTTGGAGTTCCTTATATTGGAAATTGGGAAGAACAAAATGATGCTATTATCAGTTCACGACAATACACATTTAACAAATTTCCTTTACAACTACAACAATGTTTCATAGCAAGTTGTGCATTATACTTTGGAATGCCTTATAGCCTATGGAGAACTGGAGTTATTTTTAAGAAACAAATTTGCAATGAAATTATTGATGTATTAATTAAATTTACTACATCATCAATTGAAGTACATACACGGTATCATTTGAACTCACTCCAAATGGCTGTAGATAATGGAAATATTCATCACTCCTTAGAAAAATTCTTAGATCAGCTAACATCTATATATTTTTTGAATGTAAAATTTTCAGTATCATTATTGTGTCCTCATTGTCTCAATCATTCTATTAAAAAAGAGGATATAACAAACTCTTTTTTAATTCACGAAGAAGAACATTCTTATAATATTCCATTAATTGCAATGGATTACTTCTTCTCTACTCTTCCTCATTCTCTTCCTTCACCAACGCTAATGAAAGAAATAACTAGAGGGTCATCATCAATTATTTATTTATGTGTTGGAGGTGTTGTATTGAAACAGATTAATTCTGACTTTAAATCTTTGAAAAGAAATGATGCTATTCATGATTTTAATTGTAGAATTCATGAATTTTATAATGAAGTTATATTTAGTCAATATTGTTTTGAAAACGTAGGAAGGATATTGGGTTATGTTACAGATCCATTTGGAATTGAAATGGAATACTATGATGGAGGGTCTTTGTTTGATCTTATTGGAGATCTTACTCAACCAATTCTAGTTCATAGCATTTTAGTTGATATTGCCAATGGAATGAAAAATATTCATCAAATAAATAAATTACATAGAGACTTAAAGAGCTTAAATATCTTATTAAAGAAACAAGCACCAAACAAGTACCAAGCATTTGTATGTGATTTTGGTGAAAGTACAATTGAAGGAGAACAACAAAGTCAAATTGAATGTCCATTTTGGTTGGCACCAGAAATTTTTAAAGGTGAACAATGGACAAAAGCCTCTGATGTGTATTCTTATGGTGTTATTATATGGGAAGTAATTACTAGACAACGACCTTATGAAGGTAAGTTTTTTAATGAAGTTAAAGAATCAATCATAAAAGGAGAGAGATTAGAAATACCTAAAAATTGTCAATATGAAGAATTAATGAAGAAATGTTGGTTAGAGAATACGGAACAACGACCTTCATTTGAAGATATTTTAAACATACTAAAACAATTGTAATTGAATAATCATTTTAAATTAAAATTATAAATTATTTTTATAAGTCAGTCAAATGAATGAAGGACTTTAAGTACCTCGTTATTATTTTGAATATAAAAATTATAGTTATGAGAACATCCACGAATGAACAAATTTATACAAGTATATACTATTCTTAACTTACCTTCTATTCTTATAAGTCTTTTGTCATTGTCCATAAAAGTGGGTATATCATTTATTTTTATTAACTCTTGTTTAATTAATACTACTATAGGAATAAATGGTGGTTCTGTATGTAGAATAAGATCTTTATAAACATTACACTGTGTTGTAAGATTAAATAATTTATTAAGTGTTTTGAATGTATCATTTTTTTCAATAACTTTGATACATTTTTCCCTTTTCTTTTCATTTATCCAACAATAACTTTTTAATCCACAATAAATAGAATATGCACAATCATAATTCTTTAAACTAAGAAATGTATTAGCGTATTTTAACATTTTTTGATAATCTTGTTTTTCTATTAATATATTTTTTACCCATTTATTAAAGTTACTACTTACCTTTTCTAATTCATTTTCTGTTGTTTCTATTATTTCCATTATTGTTAATTTTTTTAATTTATCATACATAAGTGCAGTAATTTGTTCTTCAAAAGAATTTGCAATATGATAATATTTATCAATTGTTTCAATAGTATTCTTAAAGGCAATGTCAATTTGACTAATCTCGTTGAGAGGTAAGGCATGATGCCAGAATTTAATAAATTCAAAACAAACAGTTTCATATATACCTTTTAAATGGGTCCGTTTTAAATAATTGTTATCACAAATAAAGTGAAGTACAGTCGCTGGTGTAGTAAAATAAGGTAATGTTATCATGTAAAATCTAACATATCCAAATTCAATTGCATCTTTACTAAATAATAGTGCTGATAATTTTTTAATATTCAAACATAATGCAATTCTAATATTCGAATCAATAATATCATAAACACCAGTTTTATCGGTTCCTCTTAAAACATAATCTTCATATCGAATAGCAATTTGAATGAGACGATAACCAAGTTTATTAGGAATACCAATAGCATTTTCATCAGAAACTAAAAATCCAGAAAATACTATTGCCATTTCTTTTGACATTTGGCTGATACGACTAAATAATCGAAACATTTGTTTTAGTGGTTTTGCTAAGTTTAATACAATACCTTGTAATAAGTGAATATCTTCATAACTAAATCCTGTTTTATTAAACTTTACTACTTGAAAGAGTTTAAATACTGATGAACTTGTCATAATTAACAGTACTAAAGATAATGCTATTCGTTGGTGAGAAGGTAAGCCTTCACAAATAATTGTTTGAAATTTGTTTGCCCTTAATAAATTAAAATTTTCATTGAGCTGGTTATGATTATCCAATGCATCTAAGACATCTTTATATGAAACTGTCTCAACAATATTTAATATTGAACAACATAATGGAGCAGTGAAATCATATGTTGGAATTATTCCACTACCAATCATCATTTGTTGTAATTCCTGTGAATATCTCTTTGATTCTTTTCGGTGAGATTTAGCAAGGGTATTGTAAAATGGAATATTTCTTTTAATACATGAATCAACCTCAGCATTAATAGAACCAAAATCTTCTATGGTATCAAACTCATTTACACTACTAATAGAACTGGGCAATGAGTCTTTGACTGAATTTCTTTGATTAGAAATGTCAAATGCACGAAAAGAAATAAATTCAGTTGTAATTTTATCAGGGATAATAACACCTTTAACTGATACAATATTCGGATTAAAACAAGTATATTTTTTAGATGAATTGGTCGGAAGGTGAATAGTTTGTCGCATAACAAAACTTAAGAAAATAATATGTAAAATGACTTTTAAGTTTAAAATAAAAAATTCCTTTTTACAACTTTTTTTGTTGTTATAGAATTAGAAGAGAATAGACTTATCTTAACAAAAATTTGACTCATTTTGTCCCATTTAAACTAAAAACCAATGGCTAAGTCCAATCAACATATGTTAATCTTTATTTGTATTAGTTATATCATCTTCAACCATTCGAATTTGTTTAAGAGCATTATTTTCTTGTCGAATATCATCTCTAACATCATCTAATCTTTCTACTAAGTCTTCAGATGTATTTAATCCTTTTATTGTTTCATTAATATCTTTTTGAGTAATACAAAGTAATGATAAGATTGATAATAGTGTTCTGATTTCTGTTTTTAAAGCAACATTTTCTAACATATATGCTTCTGTCCCAATGGATGTATATTCTTTTGGAAAAGAAAGTGCTTGTAATTCACTTCCTATTACATCACACAACTCAAGATAAATTTTACGAGATTTTTTGTAAATACTAATCAATAAATATTTTTTTTATCTTCTTATATAAATAAATATTTCTTTTCATCTAAAAAATGACAAACTCAACCATAACACTTTGTATTTCAACAGCAAGATCTTGTTTCACCATTCTTAATACTTGGTTTTCTTGTTGGACAATAGGAGAGTCAAGACTTTGTGTTAAATATGTTAAAAGTGATGAAAGTTGTTCCTCAAAATCACATCGTCTTGA